AAAATGTCATTATTTTGTCTTCAAACTGTGCTTAGCCCTGGACCTCACTCATTTTAACACTATTTTTTACTAATGGTTTTATCATCTTAACTTTTCTAGGGTGTTTGGGAAGGATGCTCAGTGTTGCAACTGAAACACACCCACTGCCTCTGAAAGGATTTGAAAATCTCCTTGGCTCCTGGTGAGGAGCTCGTCGCAGTTTCTGAAATGGCTGGTTATTTTACTGATTTCTATAGTGATTGTTGCCTTAGCAGCAAGGTCCTTGCTTAGAGAATAAAAGCACTGTACAAACATGAAGAAGGCATGATTTGATTTGGGAAGACTTAGGTTTTCTTCGATCAGGCTTCAAAGTGCTTTAGGAGGAGATCGGAGATGAACAAACTGATTTTGGGGGTCTTTGTGGATGTGGCTTTGTCTCATCAGTGTTAATTGCAAGATGTAATACTTTCTGCTTGAGAGTTTAGAGGTAATAGGGAACAGCATGTTAACCTGTAAGCCAGCTCCGGGGTTGTGGAGGGAGGTTACTGCTCTGTGGACCCTGCAGCCATCCCAGAGAAAGTCTCGGGCTGCCTTCCCCAGGGATGTCCATCGCTCACTTGGCGGTGAGCCCATGGACTTTGAAACAAAATCTGAAACAGTGACATCCAGTAGCGTGAGTACTTAATTATCCTCCAAGCAGACCTAGAGACAGAAAACTCCAGAGTTTTGTGCACCGTGGCTGCCAAGTCAAGTGTGGAGGTGTAGCCAGCTGATGATTTTATTGCTGATTGTCTTGTCCTTTAACCAACGGGATGGATGCTCCCACGTTCAGTCCTTATGCCCAACCGCATCTCCACAAAGCAATGCAACAGAGAACAGATCTTGATATGCAAGGTTATGTAGTGCGCTCTCAAATACTTGTTTAACCCACTGAGGTGGCCATAGTCATGGTATTACAACACTCATACAGGCAGATTGAAGTGGTGGTGGGAAATACTCCCTGTCGGGAAAGTGGAAAAGGATCTGAAAGTTTTGAGTTAGCACTTTAATAATTGCTGGGAACAGGGGAAAAAAGGTCATGTAAACACGAGGAGGTGGGAACTGGGGCCCTTGCTGAAGTTATTTCATCCTGCTCAGTCTTGTGGTGTGGGTATTTTGAGATACCGGTTTTACACGGCATCATTATCATAGTGCAATTGGTATTATTATGATAATCGTATTGTTATTTATAATTCATTATCTGATACAGGCTCCTTAATGAAGCAGGTCTGCTGCAAATGGAGGGAGCGTTTTAGTTGCCTGGCCCAAGCTAACAACTCACATCAGAGCTGGGGAGGCTTGGGTGTGCGCCCATCCCCCTGCCTGTCCCCATGCCTTGCTGGGGCAGTGGGACCAAGCTAAGCCAGTGGATGTGGCTGGGCAGCACCTGATGCCCATCCCCACCTTCTGTCTTCAGCTTTTGTGGACAGGAGACCTTTTGTGGAAGCAAGGGGGCCAGCAAGAGCTGTTAGTCTCCCATATCGTTTATGCGAACCTCACCTGATAAAGCTTTCATGAACGCACAATAGAAAACAATGTATTTTTAATGTGACAAGCTGGAAGGTGTTAGTAAAGAAGCTTTTTTGTCTATTCCTCCCCCATTAGACAGGCTGTGATATGGAGATTTGAATGATAGATGTTTGTTAGAAATTTCAGTTGTTTTTCCTCGTTTTAACTCTCAACAAAAACGACTCCATGGCCTGCATCCTTGGCAGAGTATTTTCTTTCCTCTAAGCCTTCCTCCCATGAGTATCAGTTACTCTGCTTTTACCAGAGGTGCTTGATAGTGATTTACATGCTGGTGGTGTGATAGCAGCGGGCTGAGATTGCACCTGGCCAGTGCTGTGCTCGTGCTTCCAGAAACGTCATCTGTGAGGACTGAAGCTTTCTGCTCAGTAGCTTCTTGCTCCTTGGTGAACCCCATGCCATTGTTGTCCATCCATCCACAGAGGACGAGATGGGGCAAAAGTGTATGCCTCTGTGTGTGAGATGGGATTTCTCATTTTTAAAACCAACAAAGACTATTGAGATAGAATTACATTTTATAATTCATAAAGACACAAAAATTGGAGTTGAGCAATTTTTATTCTTCTGTATGGTACCTTTAATAGCATTACTGATGGTGAGTTTAAAGCACGAGCAAGTTTCTGAATTGATTGTAGTTTTTAGCAGTATTGCCAAACCCTGCAGTTTTACTGCAAGACACACACATTTGCTGTTTCTCATAACACTGCCAAGCCAGGTATCATGGGGTTACACCAGCATATTATGACTCCTGTGCCAGTATCAGAGTAGTATTTGCAGCTGGCAAGAGATTTTTGTTCTTTTAGGCTCCACACAGTGCTCATCTTAAAACCTACAAGCTTAGCTGCAGCAGGAGGAGATGTATGCGCATGGTAAGTAAGGAGATGTAATTTGAAGGTTGGCTACAGGCTCCTGAACGGTGGTGAATGCAGCCCTTTGCACTGTGTCTTTAGGATCCTGAATCCTTAAGCACACAGGAGGCTTGCAGTATGTTGTCAGGGGCTGGACAGAAAGACTGGTATGTCGGGAGGATAATGGTTAAAGGTCCGCTTTCCTCTTTTCTGAGTGGTTGGGAAACTGTGATTCAGTTACTCCAGTGTTTAAAATTGAAAAGGTTTAATATTGCCCCACCTCGTGGTGTACACAGAGTGCTCCCACAACTCCAAATCTATGCTGAAATTTGTAAAGCAAAACTTGGAGACGCAGCCGATGTAGCTGTTAAATGGCACGGGTATATGAGGTCCTGCTGCAGGCTAAGAGCCCAGGTGTTGTAACAGGATTAAAAAATAACTAACTTAGGCTTTATCAAGATTATAAGGTGCTACCCTTGAAAACAGCAAGCCCGTAGAGAAGTCTATTAATATTAGTTGTGAATTTGATGCTGCGCAGTTTCTGGTGCTGCATCTCATGCATTTCAACCTGAGTTTCAACCCTAGGACAAGTGTGAAAGTGTGTGTTGCATTTTCCTTCACATAGACACCGATTCCTTGAGTTGTGAATTACTGGTGAATCACTTGAGACTGAAATATTGTGGACATCAAAAAGGCAACGGTGTTTCCATCTCCTTGGTCTGCAGTGAGTGAGTCGAGCCACAGGCATTAGTAAGTGAGGTAGCTCAAGGCTGACATCGCCCTTAATGCACAGACTCAGGCCAAATGGGGAGCTGGAGTCAAAACATCTTCCCATAACTGCTGGTGACACCAGCTCTCCCCAGCATAGAGTAAGGATGCGGGGTTCATGCTTGAGCTTTGTGCTGCGGCTGGTGCCAGACCCAGGATTTCAGGTGCCCTGTGATAACATGACTACAGCGAGTACAGCGGAGACCAGCGTGGTAGAGAGCCAAGCTGCTCTCCTTCGGTCAAAGTCTTGTAGGAGTTTTTAATGTGGGTTGACATGCATAATTCAATCCATCCTTTTTTTCCATGTTCAGAGCTGTGTAACTAAATACCGATTTGCTAAACACAACTTGAATAATGAAGCAATCCGTGGCTAAAAGCCTTCCTCAGTACATATAATCCCACTGAAAAAAAAAAAAAGAAAATAGAGCTGTATTCTTTCTTCCGCTGTTTTAAAACAGTGCAGATATTCGCAAGGGGAAATATTCATCTTCACCCCTGTTTGCTCCATGGATTTAAATATGTGCACGTGCATGGCGTGCCCAGCGAGTGAGAGGTGGCATACGCGAAGTACTGCCAGTCCTTTGTCCAAAGCTTTTTCTTTTCTCAATCACCAGACCTGACCCATTCCATGGAGAAACAGATTAAAAACTGCGCTTTGTGTTTCTTGCTCAGTTTAGAGGTAACATGTCAAAAAATATATTTATGTGCAGCATGGTCATGTTTTGCATAGGAGTATAGCTCTGTATCTGTTTTGTACCACTTCTACTCAAATCATGCCAGTAATGTAGATTATTTTGGTTTTACTCAGTGGCAACTTTGCTCTCTGCGATGAAAGACAAACATCTGGTAGCTTGTAAGAGGCTAAAAATATTCTTTAAGCTAATAAAGACATGATATGACTTTTGAAAATATGAAGTGTTTTTTCCCCATGCTGTTACTTTCTTTAGGTCACTTTGTGTTTACGATGCTGAGCCTCCTGCAGGAGAGACTTGGTCTGTGGGACAGCAGGCTGGAGACAGGGGTTCTAACTGTTTTCCTTTCTTTGCTTTGGGGAGGATCATTTTTTGCTTGTTCATTGAATAAACATCTCAAACCTGGGAATTTGCTGGTGGTGTTCACTGCCACGTGATTGCTGCCTCGTGCTGAGGATTTTGCTGCTTGTGTCTCAAAAATGCAGGAAGAGGTTCCAGCAAGTAACATCTGTTTTCATGTAATTTTTGTATTGAAAGTGATCGGCTTTTCTAAGCTTTCTAAGCTATTTTTGTAATTAAGTCAGTGTAGAAGTTTGTGACCTAGTTCCTTTTTTTTTTTTTTTTTTTTAAAGCTTCACTTTCATTTTTCTGCTGGTTCCTTTTTTAGCTGATGACAGACATTTATTTGAATTGTAGCAGTATACCATGGAAACCATAAAATTTACCTTGAAGAGCTGCTAAACATCTGCTAGAGTCCTGCAAACCTAAATGCTTCTGTTTATTTTCAGGCTAACCTGTTTGGGCATTGATTTTCCTGCTGGTGCTTTGGCCTGGAGAGTATAACCTTGCTTATCTACATAATTTTTTTGTGTGTTGCTGACCTGTAGAAAAGCGATTTTTGTGGTACACTAGATATTTTTGCCTTGCAGAACAAAAGCCAGGCTTCCTATTCAATAACTAGGTGCAACACATTGCATTAAGATACCAGTCTGTAAGGGAGAGAGAAGGTTTGTGACACAAATAACACTAAACATCTGTTCTGTAGATCCTTAAATCCATTAGTATTATGATTTTAAGAGGAGTTTGGGTAGTGGTTATGGACCAGAGCTGCATAGTAATAGAAAATTTGGGTTTTTCTCCTCCCCAGGAAGAAGAATGCAAACACGAATATGAAGTGAACCGTTTCCTATGCTTGCCACAGCGCCTGGATGCTCATATCGGATGGTTAGAGACGGGGACTTGCCTCTCACCAAACTGCTTCCTCAGACAAGATGAAGCCAAGGAGGAGCTTTCCAACACGCTGGAGTTGCAGTGACTGCTGCCCAATTTAAAATCGATGTCAGACTGTGCCCCAGCTGCCTGGCAAGATGAAAGAAGTGGTGTTGTGGTCACCCGAGGAGGTGATGAATTGGCTAACAGAAAATGCTGTGCCGGAGTATTGTGAGCCATTGAAGAGCTTCACCGGGCAGGATTTGATCAACCTCACGGAGGAGGATTTTAAGAAGACACCTCTATCCCGGGTGTCTTCCGACAGCGGACAGCGGCTATTGCACATGATTGAAACTTTAAAAATGGCTCACCACATTGAGGCTCACAAAAACGGGCACATCAACGGGCACATCCGTGTCAGTGTGAGCAACACCACACGTGAGAATGGCTTTAGCAGTAAAATGAAACTGAACGGGATGCCAAATGGCTATAAGAAGGAGATGATAAAGATCCCCATGCCAGAGCCAGAGCGCTCACAGTATCCTATGGAATGGGGCAAGACTTTCCTGGCTTTTATTTATGCACTTTTTTGTTTCATCTTTACCACAGTGACTATCTCAGTTGTTCACGAACGAGTGCCTCCCAAGGAGGTGCAGCCTCCCCTACCAGATGCATTTTTTGATCGCTTTGATCGGGTGCAATGGGCTTTTTCTATTTGTGAAATCAACGGCATGATCCTTGTAGGACTGTGGTTTGTTCAGTGGCTGCTCTTAAAATACAAGTAAGTAAAACCTTTTGAAAACTGAGTGCTAGGGTATACTTCTGACAGCTTTTGGAGGTCAGATACTGGTTTACATCCAAATAATGAAGATTCTTGTGACCTTTCTGATTTTGGTTTCCCGAACTGAAGTAGATATCATGCCATAGGCAAACTGCAGTTTGTATGGGCTGCTTGTGCAAAAGGGAGAAGTTCAGTCCAACTGCTACCTAAGAAACTAAGAAAAGCCCTGGTCTTGTTTGCCTGCACAATTAACTTGAACCCTTTTCATGTGTAAAAAGCCATGAATTGGATGTAATGATGTTCTTAACTCAGTTGACTGTCCTGTCTGTTTAGAGGGAGCACAGCTCACACTGTTGTGAAGACAGCTGCAAACCACCGTGGGATTGATTTAGTGTCTCTGTAGTTTGCCTGATTTAAAGACCTACCCTAAGATTATGATACTCTTGGACAAAACCAACAGGCAGTGGTTTAGTCCGTGCACCTAAACAGTGCTGCGTGAAAAAGTGTTGAAGTACATTTTCTGCTTGACATTAGATGAGACAGGTGTCAAACAGAAAGTATGTCAAAAACTAATCATAAAATATGCAAAAGCATAGATATGCAATGAATTTGCAAGGTCTTAGTGGTTGTCTGCCCCCTTGCTCATACTGGTCAGAATTGTAAGGGCGAGTTTGCCTGCCAATGGAAGTAACCTACCGCTTACCCTCTACAGAGTGCGTGCGCATGCTTAATTTAGGGTATTTATACTGCTGTAAATCCACACCTTGGGCTGCCTTACCATGAGTGTCTGATAAACCCTTGTGCTGCCATGGCTGTGAATGAAGTGTTCAAAGTCAAGTGGCTTTAAGCAGTATGAGGTGGCATATCACCTTTCCTTTCAAAAACCAGGCACAAGCATGTCCCCACAGCTGCCCAAAGAGGGTCTCCTCCTCTGCTAATACAACATCTCATTCTTTACCTTCTCACTGACTCTTTTTTGTGACTCCTGTGTAGGAAACTGAGGAAGGAATGTAATTTGGGCCCCACCATGTGAAATATAAGATCCTTCGGTTCACAGGACTTTGTAATGACCTTAGAATTACAGCTTTCCCTTATTAAAAGAAAGAAAACCAGAGGCCAATGGATCACTCACCCTTATAATGGAGAAAAACATTAAAACTTAAATGTAAGCATGTGGTTCACCAGCTTCATGAGGTACAGGCAGCTTGAAAAGAGAGAATTGCTAAGCTGGGGCAGGATGCCCTTGTGCAACACAGCTGTGGATTTTCATAGGAATGTGACAAATGTTTAAGTAATCCACAAGACTGAGATGATGGTTTATTCATCTTTTCTGCTGCTTTATACTACTTAATGTTTATCAGGTGAAATTTTAAAACTGTTGTACATTTTTACAGAAAACTGTGGAAGTGCCTTTTTTTGTTGTTGTTGTTGTTCTTTTTGTTAAATGTGCACGTATGTACTTGAGGAAGGACTTACCCTGGCTTGGCCTCTTGTTTTGTTTATGGCTGTAAGCTTCAGTATCACTCTTACGTTAGTAGCTGCAGTGCTAACTCCTCTCCCACTGCTCCAGTTGCCTATGGTGAACATGGGGGACTATTAACTTTCTTGGGGTCTCTGAGCATAAATGTTCAAAACCAAGGGAAGCACCTGGAGAAGGTGACATGGGATTGCTCTCAAGAATGGGGTGTCAGGTTAATAGGGCTGTATGAGGGATCAAACACCCTGTGATGGAGCCGAGCAGAGTCTTTAGATTCAGAACAGCAGAATCCATAAGGTCCCTGGAGATTTTGTAGCAGTGAGACATGGGTTGGCTTGATGATAAAGTATGTTGGTATCATTGATAGATGTGAAGATTTCCCCCCTCCCCCGCTCCCCCCCATCCCCATTTGCTTTGATATGTTTGTTTTTACTTGCTTTAGAAGGGCTCTTTCTGGTGTTAGGGGAAGATGTCGGGGAGTCGCAGAGTTTTCCATTCCCAGTATCAGCCCTAGAATAGCTGGTCAGCACTGGTCAGTGTGTGTACTGGTCACGTAATGCTTTGGAGACCAAAAGTCTTCTTTTATGTCAATGAGCAGACGTATCGAAGTCCAAGATGCCCAAGCTGTCGGTAAGCAGCAGAAAGGGAAGAGCAGGAGAGCTGCTCACAGGAACAGGAGCCCAGTGAGGTGGCTTTATCTGGAGGACCTCATTCTCGTGGCTTTGGATGGTGAACCACTAAGTGCTATAAAAAGAGCTGAATCACATTTGTGGCATGGGTTATCACCTCCCTTTGAAACTTAACTAAAGAATAAAGAGAGGGAATTAAGCCAGCTAGACCTTCCTCACTTCTCTGACCTCTGATGTTGTCAGGGATGGTCATTGCCACACTCTATTTGAGATCTGAAGATAAGACGTGAAGCCAGGTGATTGCTGGGCAGGATGAGACCTGGTTCCTCGCCTACTCAGATGATAGAGATACCATTCGTGGATGTCTCCAAGTGCAAGCTCAGAGTCACTGGTGAACCAGCAGCATTGTTACCCATGAGCTGAATTGCAGACAGTGGCTGGGCTGAACCTTTGACTGAAGGGGAGGCAGCTTCACAGTTTCATACTTTTTGAAACACTTTGCCAAGCAGTGAAATTCCTATTGCTTATCCTACCAGATCCATTATTTGCCGATAACCTGATTTCACCCAAGCTGAGCTTGCTGTTCTCCCAAGAAATGAAGGATGGTAGAGATGTGTCATTCATGATAACTGATCACTCAGATTTAGTCCAGGGATTGCATGATGACGTTGAATAGGACCTACGTGTCATCTTTGTTGGACTGCAAAGTTGGGGCCAAAATGGAAGAGGGTGTTGGGTGTGCCTGTCCAGCTAACCATAATGCAGGGTTTCCCTTGGCCCCTGTTAGTGTTTTCTTGCCTGAAAATTAATTTTGCCTTCAGGTAGAGACTGGAGCTTCTGGCTGGCTTCAGGGCAAGGCACTAGATTTGGTGCGAGGAAACCAATGACAGCTTTCTTTGAACATCCATACAGAATACTGTCCATGGCATTGGGTTGGGTTGGTTTCTCACCAGAAAGCAGGAGCAGGGTGGGTGTGCAGGTCTTGGCTGGGGACTCCAGGCTGCCCAGGCCTTTTTCTGCAGACACCGCGGGGAGCTCAAGGAGTCCAGGCAAGCTGCCAAGGCAGAGTTAACTTCTCTGGGAAGCATTCCCAGATGTTTTGGGAGAAGTACAGTGCTGGTTTTTGGCCATGCTTGACATCTCATCCAGCCTGCACGCTCGCTCATGGGATTGAAAAAGCGGCATGCTCGCTATCCACGTTAGGTGAGGTCTGGATAGTTGTAATAAAAGTTGTCTTGGCCCGTAATAAGCTTAGAGGTTGTACTTGTTAGCTGACTCATAATCACACACACACACACACACACAAATCCTTTTGAGAAGGGAAAATGTGAGGCTTTTTACTCTTTTTTTTTTAATTTCACAGTACAGAGCACTTTGACGCAGACTTTCCTAAGCTAAAATATGCTAAATCCAGCTAAACCAAGTAGGTTCATGGGTAATTTTAATTAAAAAAAAAAAAGTTCAGTGCTCAATTAAACACTGCTGCTTCCTTGGTCTCTCAAAATTCAGTGCTGCTCAGTCTTTAATCCCCAACCCTCCTGTTTGTCTTTATACCAGGTTATAAAGAAAAGCAAGTTCATGTCTGGTTATAAAAGCCAGGCACAAGTGTGAGATCTTTATTGGATCACTCTTCTGAGAGAAAAATCCCCCATACGAAACACAGAGGAAAACCACTGCCCCAATGGCATGGTGCCTTCCACTCTTAATTTTCAGTCTATGGAGCTACATTAATAAAGTATAATTTTTAACTCCGAGCTTTGTCCACGGTTACACCAGGAGGGGGAAGAAAAAATATGAAATACTGTGTTTCAATAGCAGTGAGCACTGGAGTGCAAAATGCATTTACACTGGAATAGTTGAAGCTTTTCTGATAAATTAAGACACTCAAGTTGTTATTGATCTGGCACTGCAAAGTCATACTCCTCCAAGAGTGGAGCGCTACAGCTTAATAACTGCCAAAAGCTATTAAAAATAGAAAAGATGGCCAATTTTGAGCTTCGAAAGAGCTCAGCTTGATAGAAATATTATTTTTTAAAAAGTAGACGCTTCAAAACAGCAACAAATGGATGCCAGAATTTGCAGCTTGTGTTGCAACCCTTGTATTCCCCAAATGATCATAATTGTAAATAACCACAATTTAAAATCAGTTGAAACCAACAAGGTCTGTAACCAGCAGGATGCAAAGGGTTGATGTGGTTAAGGTCATGAACTGCTGTAACTGGATTTGCCCTTGATTTTTATAACGCTGGCAGTGATTTCTCTTTGCTGAACTCTATATGAGCTCAGATAGAAGTTGCTCCTGTCCTGATGGATGTTCCAGAAGGGGTTTAATTGTCGTAGCTCTTTCCTTGTGATATTATTAGCTGGTACGTAGCAGTGAAACTCTATGGGCCAGTTTTGGGGCTGGCTGTCACTCCTGAGTTGAAGCTGCAGCTCTTTACCCCATGTGCTCTTGCTGGTTTTGTAGAACTGCATCACAGTACCCCAAAATTGCATCTGCCCTCTTTGTGTATGTCAGCGACTCGCTGGCAGCCCTCAATGAGTAAATCTCTTTGCAGCTATGGCTGCTTGCCTTGAGAGTGGCTTCCCATGAAAACACCCTGTCCTGTAGCCAACGCAGCTCTAAATTTGTATTTCGGAGATTTCACTGCTGATGTGAATTGCTTCCTCTTTAATGCTGCCCAGGAAAGATGTGTTCTCACTTGTTTGGGTCATACAAGCTATTTCTTCTCAAGCAGCCCTTTATAATTACTAAATGTGTGTGTCAGCCAAAATAAACTCACTCCTTTTCATCTTGAATAGAAAATTAGTGACCGCTCAAAGCTAATGGAGGGGTGTGGGGCATGAAATCCCTTTTTATGTCTTCAACACTAAATCTGCACAGGCTTTTGTATTCTAATCCTTATATTTCCTATAATTACCTTCATGGGTAGTGTTAGTTGAGTTGCTCTTGTGTTTCTGACCTGTAAAGCGTGGGAATATTTGTAAAGTAATTCAGTATTCTCAGGTGTAAGCTGATACTGTCACGGTTTCAAAAGCATCAAGAAGAGAACAGTTGGTAGTTTATTTTATTTACCTTTGCATATTTTGTTTGCATTGAGTGATCTCCTTATTTTTTTCCTCTCTCTCTTTTTTTTTTTTTTTCTTCCCTTCTTCCTTCTAGGTCTATAATTAGCAGAAGATTTTTCTGTATAGTTGGCACACTATACCTGTATCGGTGTATTACAATGTATGTGACTACACTCCCAGTACCTGGCATGCATTTCAAGTGTTCTCCAAAGGTAAACTTCTTCTGGCTGCCTTTCCATATTTAAATCTCTATGTTTTTGCTTGTCCTGCTGTTACCAAAACTGTGAGCAACACTTTCTCAATAATTGTTGCTAATTTTGAAAATACCAGTTTGGCATGATGGGGATGTCCTTCTGCAGATCATCACCTTCTCTCTCGGTGAAGGTGTTGACAGGTGCTTTGGGGCAGTGCAGGCATTCCCACCCTTTTTGAAGCACTAATCTCTGCAATTCCTGTAGCATTTTCAACTAATTTGCACAATCAGCATTTTTCGATCTCCACCAAAGCAGTCAAAGGTGTGCAACCTGCGGAGGTGCCACGTGTGACTCATTTATTTCTAAACACTTCAGTGTGTCAAATCCAAGTATGGTTTGTGTTTGAAAATGGCCTAAAGAGACTTTTCTAAGGCTGGTGAAACTCTGTCTCCTTTGCAGCTGTTTGTCCCTGCATGTATTTTTGCAATCGTGTTAGGACTTGCCACCTCCTCCTCAGTCTAGCACTGACTCCTGTTTGTTGTGCTGAGGAATAAAAAGGGCTTACAAAAGCCGTGGCTGAAACCAAGCTACTGAGACAGAGGTGCTTAGGCAAGACCCTTATAGTCAGCCTTGAAGGGTAATTCACGTGCTCGGGATGGAGATGGGACAGGGATGGTGGTGTTGCATCCGTCTCATATCACACAAGTATTGGTGGAAGTGTGGCCCTTACTGCAGCATGCTGTTTGTGGTAGGGAAATGCAGTCTAATACAGACTGGACTTCTACGGTAGGGAACAAGGTGCATATATTAGACACAAGTGCTCTTTCTCCATAGTGGTTCATCTCTGTGCCCCTCCTGGGGTTGTTTGTGCTATAGCTTGATTTAAGCAGGAGAAAGGCGGGGGGGGGGGGGGGGGGGGGATAGCTTGATTTAAGCAGGAGAAAGGCGGGGCGGGGGGGGAGGGGGAGTAATTTCTGTGAAATATCTACTGCACACACAGTTCAATTGCTTTGTGTGCACAGCCATGTTAGATGACAGGTAGTAAAATCACTGATTTACAGGTAGTAAAATCCTGATTCGACCCAGTACACGTGCTGTTTCGGTGAGGATTGCTGGTGCCTGCAAGCAAAGCCGAAACGCCTCGGTTCCTGGGGGAAATAAAGCCAATGAATGTACTGCACCAGTTGTTTGACAAGGCAGAGCGTTTGCCAAGCCACGTGTGGCTTTTTGAGGGACTGAGGTCTTTTGTAAAGAGAAGCGAGTGGGAGAGGAGTCAACATTGTATTTGATCAGTCAGCCATTATGAAATTAAAAAAGAAAGAACACAGGTATTTATGGGCTGAAGTGAGTAAGTCTGCCATTTTTGGAAATTTATAGTGTTGGCAAGTCCGTCTCATTACTCAAGTATTAAGACAAGCCTATGTTGTGCTCCTCTGTTGCCCTGATAAGACTAAGGATTAGCTGGGCTTTCCTGAAAGCTATAAATATACTGGTGGGAAAAGAATAACCTCTCAACACCTTACTGAGTTATATATGATTATGAAGAGTGGGCTTTGGGGAGTGTTTTAATGTTTTGTAAGGAACTGTTAGCAGGAAATGTTTAATTGCTGCAAAGACCCTGTTTAAATCTGTCAGAAATTAATAATTTCCACTTCTTAAAGCAAAACCGAGCTTTAAAATAAAAGAAAAACTTGCCTTTAATGGCCAGCCAGGGGGATCTGTGTTTCCTTCTGACTGTTAAATGGTTACCATGGATTTTAAAACTTCATAAAATGGGGTAAGGATGCAGCACGTGTAGTCGCATGCATTGATCCATTAGTCCTACTCCTTTGAGCTCAGATGGTTTCTGCTTCCTGTTGGGTCCTGGAGCTGCTCAGTACATCCTGGTTGTGCTTGTCCCACGGCATACATTTTGTTTGTGGATTTGTTTAACATTTGGGCTTGTTTTAGAGCTGGGAGCGGCAAAAGCAAAGTCTTGGGGCAGTGCCAGCCAGCTGCCCTTCGGTCACCTGGGAGGAGGGAGAGGGGCGTCCTCACCAGAAGGACTTAGTTTGCTTCGGTTTGGCTTTCCTAAGGCAAATTGAAGTTTTTTCAGGAATACCCTCTGAGCCAGCATTATGGGTTGGAGGTGGGTCAGAGCAAATCCATCAGGTGTGGAGGAACGTCCCCGTTGCTCACATGGATTGTGTGAGTTAAAGCCAGCACAGAAGTTTGTCACTGTGCTCTGACAAACACCATATATGTTTCTTCTGAAATGTGAAGTGGAAAGAGATGATTTTGAAGACTTTCCAAGGCGGGGTGGTGGGAGGCCTTAGAGTTTGGAGTGAGATACTCTCTTCTGTACATTGAATCTGGGTTTCAGCAGCTGGATGTACAGCTTGCACAGTTCATCCTGTTTTCTGTTGGATTATCATCTGTAGGGCCTGCGCTGTTACGAACAAGATGAATTAAATTAAGCTTGATTTATTTTAGAGTGCATTGCCTCCTGAACAGAAGGAAAAACAGATGTTTAGAGAACATGACAAAATTCTAGCTATAGCTGGAAATATTTTTAATTCCTTTTTATTGGTAAAGCTGGATTTTTGAGACTGTATTACAGAAGTCATAGGTTTTCCAAGAGTCATCATTCTGAACCTCACTGTACACATGTGAGGTTCATACGTATATATATATACACCCCCATTGTATATCCCAGTGCAAGAATATAATGAATAAAAAGAGATCTGAACCCATTAGCTCTGCTTGAAGATTCCTACTAAAAATCATTTTCCTGCACAGCCACAAGCATTAGCAAAGGCTGCCAACAAGACCTGGGAGGAAGATTACGCCTTTACGTGGTAGCAGCAATAAGTACTTATAAATAACATAGAAAACAATTTTTACTCACCTACCTGTTTTGCTGTAAGTGTAGCACTCTGCCACTGACAGGAGTTTTAACAACTTTTGGACCATTTTTTTGCTTTTGTATTATACTGAAAAGATGCCATGTTTTTCATTGCAGCTGGAAGTGACCTGATGTAAAGGGTTTTTACACACGTACACACACACACAAATATGTGTGTAAACAAGATTGCCTTTTTTCCATGCCTTTTCAATCTATATTGTGAGCATAGGAAAAAACAGTAGTCCTTTGAGATACTATATTTATAGGGAAATTGTAATAATTTCCTTGATTCTTCATACATTGAATACTTCAAATAAAATAATATTTTAGACAAACGGATGGAGGTGCATACGGCCTGTGCTCACATGAGTACTAGTTATAATAGATGCAAAACATCAATAAAAAAAATAAACTCATGTCTCATTTCCAGTCTTTTTCCTTCTAGAAATGTGCTGCTAGCTTTTGGAAAAGGCTGTGGATTTACTGATTGATCTTGTGTATCAAAGCAAAAAGAGAGAATAACTGAAAGGCAAAGTTGCTGGCTAACACCGTTGCTTTAAACTCTGAAAGGTTAGTGCTGATATTTTACTGTGCGTTTGTGTTTTACTCTTCCACCAGCTTTTTGGAGACTGGGAATCTCATCTGCGAAGAATAATGAAACTGATTGCTGGAGGAGGATTGTCCATCACAGGATCCCACAACATGTGCGGCGACTATCTGTACAGCGGTCACACTGTCATATTAACTCTTACGTACTTATTTATCAAAGAGTGTAAGTTCGTTACTGTTCATGTGGAATCTCCTGTTGTATAATTCCTTGCTAATTGAAGAATTATTGTGCTGATGGGTAAATACAATTAAAGTAAAAATGCACACTTTTTCAATTAAATAAAAATAATAGAATTTCAGAGACATAGGGCTTACTGAAAAAGAAAACTTTGGAGACAAAATAAAACACTTTACCGTGTAGATGTCTGAAATAAGCATTTTATTTTAAAAAAAATTTTGTTTACAATAGAATTGAAACCTTCATCGCACCCTACCTGATGAATGGTATTTCATTCACCATATGCGTCTCCTAATCTAGAGAGAGATGAATGCTATGCTGAATGCAAGGTTGCTCATTTTGCAAGAATCAGGCCTTAATGTATGCATTTATCTTTTATGAAAGGTAAGAGGAATGGATTGCCATTATGTAGAATCAATGTTGAAATACAAATCAGTTAATTTACTGACTAGGGTGTATTATATGGTTATGTATTGGGCCTGTTTCTCAAAGATTTCATAACCTTTCTATTGTCCAAGGATCTCATTACCCCTGAGTACAATTTTAAGTTTCACCTTAAGAGAATGATACTTATTTTGTGATCTCAGC